GTAAGCGAATAATTTCAAATTGGAGTCGAAGCAGTAGTTGACTCAGGTGCCTCATCACATTAAACATTATCCAAATTACAGAGAAAGTAGTAGTGCCAATTAGGTGTGCCAATGGTATATGATTTATATAAAGCTTATTACAACTTAATAAATAAAGACATGGGGAAAATAGATTGGAATAAATTACTGTCTAAAGGAGGCGTCGAAAATATTATTTCTGAATTTTATGAAAATATTTATAAACATGTACCGCAAAAATCTACCAGGTCTCAACACCATCCTCCGTGGTTTTCCAGGGAATTGATCCATATTTTAAGAAACAAAAATAAAGCGTGGATCTAATGAATAAAAAAATTACAAATATTAGTGATTACGCCGCTTTTTTCATGTTTAGAGATCGTTTTCGTAAAGAATCCTCTAAATGTTATAAAAAGTATATGGAAAATGTTGGAAAAAGCATTCATGACAATATCAAATATTTTTGGTCTTACGTTGACAACTTAAACAAAAATGTTGTAGTTGTAATGTTGCTTCATGTTGTACAAAGACCATGCTACAAATAATCCAGAAGTAATACCCCATTTGTTTTCTTCTTTTTTCCAATCGGTTTTTGAACCACAGGATAACGTAAATGAGTATGATATTCATAACACTAGTTTACAGTGCATCTGTTGCCGATAAACTTTTTGCTATTGCTGACTACATATGTTATGGTAATTACAAATATGTAGGTAGATTTTTTTAAAAGCTTTAGTTTATGAGTTTCAGGTACTTGCGGTCAACACTAAAACAGCTAGGTTTACCTTAGAATTTCCAAAAACCCAAAAAACTTCTCTTTAAAGCTCTTTTCTTTTACATGGACTAAGAGAAGTTAAGTATTAGGCACTGGCAATAGTCAAATATCTTTTTCCTAACCTAGAAACCCTGATAAAGCTCCTCTATGATGTAAATATTGATGTATACGCATTTCCTGCTCTTTGCTAATATTTCCTATATTTTTTGGAAACCTGTCTGTCTGTGTGCTTACATTTCATCCTAGTTTTTAATTATAAAAGGAGGTCTTTTACAAGTTGAGTATAGTTTTGATTCCGAGAAACTCGGTCATCTTCGAGTATTTGGTTATGTGGTGAGTAATTAAGGGGGTATATGAAATGATTCATTTAAGGGGGTGTGGAAATATGTGGAGATAGTTAAAAGCATAACTAAATGAATCATTGTTTTCCAAAACGTAGAACAAAACAAGAGCACGCAAGCGGCGCCGTGGCTGACCGTGCTGAACGCTCGCACGGCCCGGGTCGCCATGAACCTCTGCGGGCGTCGCAAGAGGGCCATCATGCGGGGTTTGAAGCACTCAGCCCAAACCGGGGCTCCATAAAGTGAAATCGACCGTACCACCTCGTGATACAGCCGACGGTCCCCCCACGTTCGGACACTTTTCCGTGCTGAGAAACCCGATTTTAGAAAAGTCTTATTAAACGTACTTAGAAATATAGACTTCTGAACAGATCTATTGGCCCACCTTGTATTTTCAGTTTCGTTTGGTCCTAGCTAAAATTTTATATTAGGTCGAGCAAAAACTTTTTATGCAGTTTTGAACCTGGCACATTCACAATTTCATTCAATAGTCTTTTTTTGAATTTCGAACACAGAATTTAAAGAAACAAAAGACAATTTGGAGCCTGTTTGTTGATATCAAACAATCGAATACTAAGAAAACTTGGTTTTATTGGTTTACTTGGATTTAATTCTTGAAAAAGTGATTGATATCTTTGGTTTTGCAACAAACATTACTTATTCTTAACATTACGGTGAGATTCTTTCAATAATCTATGGATACTTCACCTGAAGTCGCCGCCCAAGGTGTGGGACTTATTCAGGCCGGACACACGTGAGTGCTCAACTTAATTTAAGTCGATCTGCGGTCCGAAATATTTATCGGAGGTACCTAGAGACTGGCGGCTTTGTTCGTCGCCAAGGAAGGCCACGATCTCGGGTCACAACTGAAAAGCAGGATCGATTCATCGTGACGACCAGCTTGAGAAATCGTCATCTTACCTCCATTGAGATACAAAAACAAATTCGCGACTTCCACGGAGTATCTGTGAGCGCTCGAACTGTTCGGAGGTTAAAAAAACGTGATATGGTACCACACAAGCCAGCTAATAGGCCCAAACTAACGCGAGCCCACCGAACAGCGCGCCTTCATTTCGCACGCAATCATTTAAATTGGACACAGCAAGATTGGAGCCGTGTACTCTTTTCTGATGAGTCTAAAATTGCGTTACATGGCAATGATGGAAGGAAGGTCTACCGACGTAAGGGAGAGCGTTTCGCACAATGCTGCTTTGAAGAGAGGGTTGCTTATGGCGGTGGCTCATGGACTCTCTGGGGCGGTATATACGCGAGCGGCAAAACTCAACTTGAGGTTGTTACAGGACCACGGCTGCCAACATTAAATGCTGAAAGGTGCATTCGTGAGTGCTTAGAACCTCACGTGATACCATACGCGGACAATGTGGGCCCAAATTTCCTTTTTATGCATGATAATGCAAGAGCCCATGCGGCCGGCATCGTCAGGGAATATCTTCGGGATGTGAACATCACAGTTATGGACTGGCCAGCCAGAAGCCCAGACATGAACCCCATTGAGCACATGTGGGACGAGCTAAAAAGACGTGTTAGGGCTCGTCAGCCAGTTGCCCAGACGATGCAGGAGTTGAAAACTGCCATAGAAGAGGAATGGGAGATGATCCCTCAAAATTTCATAGAGCGGTTGATAAACTCTATGCCTAATCGTATGAGAGCTGTGGTAGATGCCCATGGAGGCAACACGCGTTATTAAATTAAACCTTTATTTGATAAAACATGTTTTTTATTCAAAAATCAATTGCCTTTAACAAGGTGCATATCCGACTTGTTAGGCGTAGCTCCATGTCGTATGGTATTCTGAATTCAAATTTAAAACAATACGATCGAAAAAGATGGTAAAATGTATCAGGTTTAAAACTGCATCAACAGTTTTTGTTCAATCTAGCAATCATATTTCGGTAGGGGCCATCGAAACCTAAACTCTAAGGTGGGCCAATAGATGTGTCCATAAGTATAAGTGTATTTTACACTTTTCACGGTAGTACAACACACCACGTTAAAATGAGCATTGTATTTTTTTAAAAGCCAAGAATTGTAAGGCACAACATATCGATTATCGACGGAATACCGACCGATTATTACGACATTTGTGCTAGCTCGTCGTCTATATAGTGGATAACCATTCTGATTTTCTTTTGTTTCACTCAAGGTTGGTTTAGGATAATCCTTTGAGCATTTTTCTTCTTTCATGCAGGGAGATTCTGGGTTGTCAACTCCGCATGGGCCATGGATCATTGATGTAATTACACTTTCGTAAAGTTGTTGGTCAGTTGCTTGATCAGGAATTTCGACAGGAATGATGTTATCAATTGAATCAACATCACCAATCTTGTCAGCAGCTTTCAAGATTATTAAGATGTGTGCGTGAGGCAATCCGCGCTTTTGAAATTCAATAGTATATATAATAGATGCAACATCACCAAAAATCTTTCTGTATTTGATATCATACAGAAGATCGTCCAGTTTCTCCTTAAAAACACGCGCTATCAGTTCTGGTCGTTCCCATGTTTCCTGATTAGGATATAGATTGGATTTGATTTCGGGCCATTTCGGGTTACATGTAAAAGTAATAAAAAGGTCGGGCTTGCCCAGGGTTCGAACGATTGCTATCGCGTCTTGATACTTTTGTTGCATGTTCCTTGGACTATTTATATGGGTTGAAGGAAGAATGACCATTAAACCGACGCGTGTTCCATCGTTCTGAGCTTGATTGTTTAAATAGTCCATTAAATTTGCGTACATTTCGGCACGTAGTTGGCGTTGATTTAACTTAATGAAACACAGGCGCTCTCCTTCGATTCGCACCCACATATCTACTAACCACTGAAGGTAAAGTTTTCCTGATGCGTGCAATATGCTGAATGGCTGACGAATTGCGATTCTGTGAGCAGCGTACTCTTTCATTGTAACCTTGTTCCGCATTCTTGTGCGCCTGGAGTGTTCCATTTCACGATGCCATCCGTGATCTCCTTTAGGAAAAAGTAACACATAGCAAAGCGGATCAAGATTTGGATCATGCGTTTCAATCTCTTATCAATTAGACAAGTGCGTCTGTCTGTGGTGCTGTTTCAGCGGCCAAACCGTAAGAAATAGATAAAGAGAATATTTAAGTTATAAGTTAAGAATAGTCTGATAAGACTACAAACCTGATTCGAGTAACGTAGCACTTCCGGTTTTCGAGAAATCACGTGATTTCTATATCTTGGAAACTATAAGAGATAAATAAAGAAAACTTTTTAGTTATAAATTCTAAATATACTAATTAGGCTACAAACCAAATTTCAGACACGTGACACTTCAGGTGTTGAAGAAATCACGTTATTTCTATATCTCAAAAACGGTAACTAATAGATAAAAAATTTCTTCAGATATGTGTTTAGAATCACAAAATAACCCAGAATACTATTTTTTGTGAAAAAAGATGAAAAAAAATTTTGAGAACATCTAACAACACAAAAGTTGGTTCCTCCGGGAATTTTTGGTAAGTGTTTTTTGTTGTTGAATGGGCCCTGAATTTGTCCCTCTGTGGATATCAGGTCGCCATACTATTCTCTAATTTTTAGATAAAAAAAAACTAGAAAATTGACCCATAATACACGGGCCACGCCCATTTTTCGAAAAATGTGTGTTGTTATATGTACCCACATTGTACGTAACCACTTTTGACTGACTCATTAAAAATTATAAAAAATGGGAATGGCCTGTTCATTATGTATCACTTTTCTAAGAATCCTACGTACGTACGTTTGTCTATTGAGTTTAAAGTTAGTGTTTAGAGTTAGGGAATGTTAGGGACGTTAGGGACATTAGGGTTTTTTTTTCTTATTTTTGATATTTTTATAGGTCTCACTATGCCTGCTCGGAAGAAATCAGCAACCGAACGCCTGCAATCAAAGGAACGGTCAAGATCATTAAACAGAAATCTTATGCGACAACTAAGAAGTAATCCAGAATATCGACAAGCGGAACAAGCACGTGATACAGAAGCTCATCAGACAGCAAGACTGGATCCATCTAGAAGACGAACTGAACAAGCACGTGATACAGAAGCTCATCAGATAGCAAGACAGGATCAATTGCGAAGACTAAATGAGCAGGAACGCAATACTGAAGCACATCGCATTAGGAGACTTGGTCCTCGACTTCCTCGACATGCCCGCGATCCGGCGAGACTTCAGGAACTTCAACGGCATTCTCTTGGTGAATTAAATAAGCTTTGTAGACACTGCAATGCTAAACACTTTTCATGTGAAATGAGTAGCACAGAATCATCACTGTGCTGTGAAAAAGGTAAAGTCACTTTAGATGCTTTACAGGAAGACCCAATAATCTAGCAGATACTCGAGAACAATGACGCACGATCAAAAAACTACAAAAAGAATATTCGCCAATACAATGCATCACTTTCTATGGTAAGTAGATTAATATTGTTTGATATTAATAAATTTTATTAATAAATTGTATAAATAATATATTGTTTTCTATTTAAGGTTAGTGCAAGTGCTAAAATGACTGAATTTTCATCTCGCGGTCCTTATGCTCTACAAATTCATGGCCAATATTATCATGGATTGGGATCTTTCTTACCTGAAGATGGTCAACAAGCCAAATATGCACCACTTTATTTTTATGACACTGACCGAGCTGCGGAGGAAAGAATAAATCACAATACAAACGCCGGATGTGATAGACTGCTTATGATGGAATTATCAGCCCATATAGCTTCAAACAATCCTTTTGCACGCAGTTTTCGAAATATGGCTGACATAATGAATAGACTACCACCAGCAGATCGTAAAAATGTTCGTATGTTTATTCATACTGACAGAAATCAAGATCAGCGTCGATATAACAATGACACTACAACCGACGTAGCAGCTATTTTTCAATCGGATGCAGATGGATTACCTGATGGAGACCGTGAATTGATTGTTTATCCTGTTCAGTCAATTACGTAAAATTGAAACGCATGATCCAAATCTTGATCCGCTTTGCTATGTGTTACTTTTTCCTCAAGGAGATCACGGATGGCATCGTGAAATGGAACACTCCAGACGCACAAGAATGCGGACCAAGGTTACAATGAAAGAGTACGATGCTCACAGAATCGCAATTCGTCAGCCATTCAGCATATTGCACGCATCAGGAAAACTTTACCTTCAGTGGTTAGTAGATATGTGGGTGCGAATCGAAGGAGAGCGCCTGTGTTTCATTAAGTTAAATCAACGCCAACTACGTGCCGAAATGTACGCAAATTTAATGGACTATTCAAACAATCAAGCTCAGATCGATGGAACACGCGTCGGTTTAATGATCATTCTTCCTTCAACCCATATAAATAGTCCAAGGAACATGCAACAAAAGTATCAAGACGCGATGGCAATCGTTCTGTTATAAATAAGATATGTATGTAATATTGCAGATAGGGCTGCCAGACAGCTGACTAAGCAATATGGTCTCACGTCCGCGTCCAAGCCATCTTGGTTAGTCAGTCGCATCACAGCCCTACTCGCGAGCGGTCATTTCTAACTAAATAAATAGTGTGTGAAAATAAAATCTCTTTTTTAAAAAGACATCCGAAGGATCCCGTATAACATTGGTGGCAGCGTAAAGGGATTTAAGAATAGATCCCCGGTACGTCTTCGTAGTTCGACTCGCGAGTGAAAACCTGTGTAATCATAAAATCCAGAAACTTTTCCGGTGCGACTCATACATTTTCAAAATCCGTATTATATACGTATATTTCCAATCGATTCCCGAAAGTTAAAAACCAGTTCCAGTTAAGATCCAGTTCCAGTTACGTAATACGTTAATAATAAACTACATAAATACATCTTTATAAACTTTTACTACTTGTGTGTGTGTCCGTGTTGTTCCTGAGCCGTTGAAGATGATCGCCGTGTTATTCTCCGTACTGTGAGTTAATTCAATCCTACAAGTGTTGTTGTGCAAAAGTCTCAGTGATATTTAATTCGACGAATTCAATACTCAGTGCAGTACAAACGTTATCTCTTCGCATTCCTGAACGCCGAGACTGTCTTATCGTTGTTTAGACTGGACTTCCCGTCCGATTCAATTCATTCGATGCCCAAAGAAGAAGTGCCAAGCATAAGCAAAATAACCATGTCAGACATCGACCTTAATATTCTTATTAAATTTATTAACCGATTTGACGGAAATCGTGAAAAATTGAATGCTTTTCTAAATAATTGCAAAAATGCCATAAATTTAGCGTCTTCGTCACAACAAGATATACTTTTAAATATATTTTAAGCCAGCTAGAAAGGCATGCTGAAGCCGCGTGTTCGATAAAAGAATTTGAAAATTGGCAACAATTAGAGGATTTCCTAAAATCACAATACGGTGAAAGAAAACACTATGCTGCCCAATTTCCATAAATTTCGCAGTATCAGAGGAAAAACTATTATTGACGACAGCCTATCAGTTTTAATAATACAGGTAATTTACCATTTCAAGGACGGCCTCGTCAACCACAAAATCGTGGCAGCCCTAATACGAATGTCGCTGGCCAGTCTTTCAATTCCCCTACCACTGGATATAATAGTTTAGTGTGCCGATACTGCAAAATTCCGGGTCATACTATTGACGTGTGTCGTAAGAGAGAATATAATAACAGACGCTTCTCTAGAAGTAATCAGTTTTTCCGTCCAAATCCTAACACTAACACACCTTTCAGAGGTAATCAACCGATTCATGCTGTGACTTCATACGAGACTGAGGGTATTGACGAAATAGATAACAATCATTTAAACTAAATGATTTCCCGCCGGGTGCCGTACGGGAAAACGAAACACCAAAACCGGCATCATTTCTAATTCACTGCACTTAACTAATTCACAACAAACAAACACCACTAACAAACAGGGTAACCAGCCCCAAACTCATAGTGGAATTCATACCATTTCCAACACCACTAACAAACAGGGTAACCAGCCCCAAACTCATAGTGGAATTCATAACATTTCCAACATCACTAACAAACAGGGTAACCAGCCCCAAACTCATAGTGGAATTCATACCATTTCCAACACCACTAACAAACAGGGTAACCAGCCCCAAACTCATAGTGGAATTCATAGTGGTAACAAAAGTTATTCCCAAAATTTACTTACCAACCCGATAGCAACTGTTTCAACATCTCCAGCGCCCAATCCTCGAGCCTATAAAGATGAACCTCGACCAATACTTACCAATAATTACTTGGATCGTAGTACTTCTGCGACAAATCGTGACACTGCCCCTGCATCTGAAAAAGAAATTGATAATGTTAAAATATACAACATAACCACCAACCCTTCAAAAAAATACTTACCTTTTATTGAAGTCCAAACATCCGTCTCGGAGAAACCATTATCATTCCTTGTTGACACTGGCGCAGCTATAAGCTTAATAAAAGAATGCTCCATAGAAAAAATGCCTAGGAAAATAACTGGAGAATTCGTGACTTTCACTGGACATGGCAACGAAGCCAACCCTATGATATCATTGGGTCACGTCCCAGTTACCTTTCAATCACTCAGTCATCAATTTCACCTTATAGGTCACTTAAACTTCCCATACGATGGAATAATCGGAAATGATTTTCTGGCTAAATCTTCTAGTAAAATAGACTTTGCCAATGACCAGTTAATAATAAATAACACCATAATTGCCCTTAAATTCACCGAACCTATCTACGTTATCGCACCTCGATCTGAAACTATAATTGAATGTTCTGTTCAAAACCCAGAGATAAAAGAAGGACTTATCGTAGATCAACATCCTATCGAATCACTACTCATAGCTAATTGTATAGTCAAAGTAAAGTCTAATTCAAGAATCAACATTTCCGTAGTAAACACATCTGAATCACCTCTGACGGTTAGTTCCGATATGAAGCTTAATATGATACCCCTACAAGAAAACAATAGTTTCAAGATCTTTCACACTTCACGAATCAATGATAACTCCGTGAATGTCCTAGACCGAACTAACCAAGTCATAGATCTCTTGAGAGTGTCCCATCTAAATCACGAAGAAAGAGACTCTTTATATAACCTGTGTGCCGACTTCTCAGACATCTTTCATTTACCGGAAGATAAGTTAACACATACTGATGCTATACAACACGAAATACCCACTACTTCTTCAAATCCTATTAACACGAAATCATATCGATTCCCAGAAATACATAAACAAGAAGTCGAGACCCAAATGAACAAAATGTTAAACGAGGGTATCATCAAACCCTCTACATCCCCTTGGTCTTCACCCATATGGGTTGTACCAAAGAAACAGGACGCCTCAGGGCTTCGTAAATGGCGTGTAGTAATTGACTACCGTCGTCTGAATGATATAAGCATCGGTGACTCGTATCCAATCCCCAACATTAGCGAAATTTTAGACCAACTAGGTAAGTGTAAATACTTCAGTACCCTTGATCTTGCATCTGGCTTCCATCAGATTAAGATGTCTGAACGTGACGCTCCCAAAACTGCCTTTTCCGTCCCACAAGGACACTTCGAATTCACCCGCATGCCATTTGGCTTAAAGAATGCCCCTTCAACCTTTCAAAGACTAATGAACTCCGCTCTGTCAGGGCTTCAGGGTATGCAATGCTTTGTGTATCTTGATGATATTGTAATTTTTCTTTTGATCTGACTACTCACATAAAATCACTCTCCAATGTCTTTGACAGGCTCAGACATTTCAATCTCAAGCTTCAACCTGACAAGTGTGAATTTCTCCGCAAGGAGGTATCCTACCTTGGCCATATCATCACTGATCAAGGCGTGAAGCCAAATCCTGATAAGATCAAAGCCGTCCAGCAATTTCCCCAACCTAAATGTCCAAAGGATATAAAATCTTTCATGGGACTAGTCTCTTACTATCGTCGCTTCATACCAGACTTATCTAAAATAGCTAAACCCTTAACTAACCTTCTAAAAAAGGATATTCCATTCAACTGGAAAAATGAACACCAGTTAGCATTCGAGCAGCTAAAACAACGTCTTACTTCTGCACCCCTTTTAATATACCCTGACTTCTCCAAACCCTTTTTGTTAACTTGCGATGCTTCTAACTATGCCATTTCTGCCATTCTCTCACAAGGCCCTATTGGAAACGACAAACCTATCGCATACGCATCGAGAACACTAAACAAAGCCGAATGTAACTACAGCACGACCGAAAAGGAATGTCTTGCCATCCTTTTTGGTACTAAAACCTTCCGGCCGTATCTCTACAGTCGCCAATTTAAAATAGTTACGGATCATCGACCTCTCAAATGGCTGTTCAACCATAAAGACCCTGGATCCAAATTCATTAGATGGAT